TAGGGTTAGTTAGAGTTAGGGATTATAGTTAGGGTGAGGGTTAGGGGTTAAGGATTAGGTTTGGCCTTAGGGTTCCAGTTAGGGTTGGAGTTAGCATTAGGGATTAGGGTTAGGGTTAGGGTTAGTTTTTGGATGTTGGTTAGGGAGTAGGGCTAGGGTTAGGCCATTGAGTTAGAGGTTAGGTGGTATATTAAGTCTTGGAGTTAGGGTTAGGATTAGGCTAGGGTTAAGGTCAGAGTTAGGGTTGGGTTTTATTTATTTTATTTTTATTTTTTGGTGGTACTGGGGATTGAACTCAGGACCTTGTGCTTGCCAGACAAGCGCCTATTCTTCTGAGCTATCTACCTGGCTAAAAGTTCAGAAGTTTTTTGTTTTGTTTTATTTTTTGGCTGGCTCAGGATGCCTTCAGGGCAGGTCTGGTATGGCTTGAAAATGTGGGGATGGAGGGCTGGTGAGATGGCTCAGTGGTCTAAAGCACCTACTTGGAACAAGCTTGGCAAAGCACAGGGACCGCGGTTCGATCCCCCAGCACCACATGCCAGCCTGCCCCGCCCCCTGGTGGGCTGAGCTGGCCACACACACACACACACACACACACACACACACACACACAAATAAATGTAAAAAAAGAAAAAAAAGAAAATCTGGGGATGGAACCACAGCGTCCTGATTACTTTGTTTAAGAAGTCACTTAAACAACTGAGCTAATGGGCAGGCCCCCTAGGGTTGGGTTTTAGCTTTAGGTTTAGGGTCTAGGGCTAGAAATTTGGGTTAGTATTAGGGATTAGTGTTAGGGTGAAGAGTTTTCACCCTATTAGGTTAGGATTAGGGTCAGGGTGAGGGCTTGGCAGCCGTGGGTGATGAATCAGGGTGGCACCCAGGCCTGGAATATTCCTTCGAGTAAATCCGGAAACCCCCAGGGCAGCTGTTTTCCTGGTGTCTTTCTTGGCCTATTTCTGAAGGGATCAGGTCGAGAGAGTGTTCACCCCAAGGTACTGCAGTCCCGGGTCTCAGAGACCCGGCACCGAGCCAGATCCCCTGTCTTCTCTCCTGCCGCTGAGAGCTGGTGTGGGGTGCAGGCAGTATGTGTGCAGCAAGCAGACCTCCTAGGTCTGGAGCTGTACGGACGTGGGACCAGCAGAGGCTGAGATGAGCAGGTGGTGACAAAGCCATGAGCTCAGCCTCTGGGGTGTGGGGACTTGGGCGAGTCTGATCCTCAGGAGCTGCAGGTGAAATGCAGGGTGAGGGGAACCCTTCGGCCTGGGCAGGCTGCCCCTGCCTGTGCCTTCCTCTCCACAGCTAGCTGAGCCACAGGGACCTGGCGACCTTAAGGCCCCTGGGGTGGGGTCCCTTAGCTGCTGTGATGGGGAAGATGGTGACGGTAGAGAGGTGGGTCCCCTCCTTGCTGGCACATGTCAGCTGGGACCAGCAGAACCAGCCCTGGGCTGTGCTGCAGGTGGCAAATCCTGAGAAATGAGCTCATTGCTGGGAACTGTCGTCCCAGGAAGTAAAGGGACCTGGGAGAGGCGCCCCATTGTGTGGATGGGGACGCTGAGGCTCCGTGGAGCTTGACTCAGCTGTGGTCTCCAAGCTGGGGTGCAGCAGGGTGGGGAACCCCACTTCCACCCTGCCCTGATCTTGGGCATGGCTGTGTCCCCCTCTGCAGGAAAACAAGAGGTAGAGGTCCCCTGGGATGGCCTTTTGATGGCTTTTCCCCCCAGCACCAGAATCATGCCCAAGCTGCTGGGGCCCCTGCGACCTGGGATGGGAGCGGATGCAGTCGTCGGGCTCAATGGAGGGGCTTGCTGCTCCCCTGCACCACCACCCTGCCAGCCTAGCCAGACCAGTGTCTGCTCTTGGGAGTCCTGTCACCTCTCTCTGGTGACGGACACAAACCCAAGCCCTAGGCCCAGCCCCGGCCTGCAGTGACCACCTCCACCTCACACATGACGACATGGTGCCTTGCTCAGGCCCAGGGAACCCACAGAGGGCAGGGCACTGGCATCTGGTTGCCCCATACGTGCCCGTCCAGTTTCCCCATAGACCCTGTGCCCCCCGGCCACCCAGCCACTCAGTACCGGGAGCGTGCGGACCACCCTCTCCCCCTCCAGTCTGCACTTTGAGGGCTTCTTAGTCCTGGAGGCTGAGTCTGGCCTCAGACGCAGTCAGGGCCCCAGACTTCCCATGGCTTTCTTTCTTTTATTATTATTATTATTATTATTATTATTATTTTATTATTTTGGAAGGACCAGAGATTGAACTCAGGCCCTTGCGCTTGCCAGGTAAGTGCTTATTCTACTGAGCCATCTCCCCAGCCCCCGTGGCTTTATTTCTCTTCTCACTGATCCTCCAGCCTGCCCATGAGCTCATGCTGTTCTCCCATTCCCAGGGAGGAAGTAGATCCTGCCCGAGCCTTGCCCCTGGCTCTCCCTCCATGCCACCCTGTTCTTGGCTCAGGGGGGCTCTGCTCTCCTCCTCCATAGCTGTGGCGAGGGCCCTACAGCTGCCTGCCCGCTTGCTCTGGGCCCCCGCCACCAGCCTAGCTCCCGGGGCTGCCTCCTGGCTCCCCCGCCTGGCACCCTGGGAGAGCTTGTAAAACGGCCCCATGACTGGGCTTGTCTTGGGCTATGCTGACACAGGGCTCAGAGCAGGGGATGACCAGTCAGACGTGGGCACCACGGGGAGTGAGAGAGGTGGCGCACTGGCCGAGGGTGCTTCCCCGCCAGCACAAGTGCATGAGACTTCCTAACTGGAAGGGTGGGGTGGAGGAGGGAGGAAGGGGGACCTGGGGCTGGAGGGGTGCCAGTCAGGCATGAGTCTGCGCCCTGTGCTGCTGGCTTAGCAGCCCTGGCCTCACCAACCTTGCCCAGGTGTGCACCACTGGCATAGAGGGCATGTGCCCTCGCTGGCTGCAGTCTTCCAGCCTCTTCTGTTCGTCCCAGGGATGGGGGCCCCTCTCCAGCTTCCTCTTGGGGTGTAGACCTTATCCCTGCTTTCATACAGGAGTGGTGTGCTTCTGGCCATGAATTTGCTTTCAGGGTCAAATGACAAGTTCTTTTTTTAAATTATTATTATGTATTTAGTACAGGGCCTACAGGTCTCACTACACAAATCGGACTCGTAATCTTCCTGTTTTCAGCCACCCAAGCGCTGGGATTACAGGTGCATGCCACATGCCTAGTCTCAATCGCTGTCTCAGCGCGCCCCAGGGGGCAGCCCCGGCACAGCACACCAGTGATCGAACCCCAGTCCCTGCTTCTGCCTAAGCAGGTGCTTCAGTCCGCTGAGCTATCTGGCTGGCTCTAAATGACAAGTTCTGAGCCAGAGACCCTGTCATCTTTTCCTCCCTTCTGGTTGCAGAGAGTGGGGTGTGGGTGGGAATGTGTCTCAGGTGCTGTAGAGACCTTTGGGGCTGGCCTGTACGTGGCCTGAGCGAGGAGAGTGAGTGTGTGTGTACACAGCAGGCACAGGACAGAGTTTCAGAGGCCGCAGGGCGGGGCGCTCATCCATGTGGACTGTGGCTTGGCAGTCAGAGCTAGGTTTGAGTCTGCCCGTCCTCGCCCACGAGCCTCTGCCCTGGGAAACCCTGTCCTCTCTCTGCCAGGGGCTTGGAGCACCTGGGTGACTTTGCCAGCTTCTCCAGCTGCTGTTGGACCTCTGCCGTTGGGCCCTGACTCCTGATCTCTTCCCAATCCCTCCAGTCCCCAGTGCTGGCCAGCTCCCAGGCAGAGGTCACTGCCATGGGCAGAGCTGATCCCCAGGTACAAGGCACCATGGGAGCAGAGAGGGGAGCCGGGCCTGGCCCAGCTCTGCAGCTTAAAGCCCTTTGAGTTTGGGCTCTCGCTCCCTCCTCCTCATTTACAGGGCTAATTCAAGGGTCAAGGAAAGGATGTACTTGGGATACACAGGTTCAATCTCTGGCATGGAGATGGGGGAGGGACATGTGACAAGGAGGTGGCAGGGGCACAGGTCGGGACAGGAGGGGCTGAGCCTGGGGTCCTGGGCCCCTCCTGCAGGCCATGGAAGGACCTGCACTCTGCGCAGGGCTGCGCAGCATGGGATGCCCCCGACCAGCACGATGCAGGGGTGGGGGCCGCGGGGTGGGGGGAGGACAGGGCTGTAGGGCCTGCTACATCTTTCCCCAATGGAAGCTGCAGAGCAGCCCAGTCTCCAGGCGGAAGGACATATGGCCATGCTGTGGTCACCTACGATATCAGTGTTCCTGGGCTCCTTGCCTCCACACTGCAGGAACTGGGGTGCTCATTACCTGGGAGGGGGTGCAGACCCTGCAAGGGTGCCAGCGAGTGGAGAACGAGGGGCTGTTGAGCCAGTATCTCCTTCTGCACTCCCTTGAGACCATGTGGTACCCCCTGCCCCCCACCACGCGAGACAGCTGAGACTGAAGGGCACCCAGGACATGTGTGGGCTGTGTTGCTTGTGGGGGCAGCTGTCCCAACCCACACTGCACAGAGGCTGCAGCTGAACCCGGGTTAGGACCACAGGAAAGAGTGGCTTTGGAACTTCAGAAAGGACTCTGACATCCTCCTGGCACTTTGTCACCACAGGAGGAAGAGATGGGGGGGCTGGTGACGACAGAGTGCCGGGCTGGAGGTGGGGCATGCGGTGGCCATGCCGGGGGTGCCTCTGGGACCCTGAAGGTGGCTCACTCCAGCTGCCGCTGACTCACTGCCTGAGGATGCTGCCGCCACAGCGCCGCCTGCACCCAAGTCCCCGCTGTCCCCTTGGGCTCCAGGAACGGAGCAGATTCAGCCGCCCACTGTGAGTCACAGACTCCAGTTCGCGTGTTTTACTCTCGGCCCCACACCCTGGAGCTGGGTGGGAACTCGGAGGAACACAGAAGTGAGTTTCCACCCTGGGATGAATGATCTGGATGCAGTGATGAAATCGGGGACCTGCAGTGCGCCAGGGGGCCCCCGCCCCGCCCGGTGTGTATAAAGGGCCAGGCGCACAGCACCCTGCAGCTCCCAGCACCTCTCTCTCTCTCTCTGCCAATTGCTCTCTGCCTCACTCTTGTCCCGGGCACCATGGCCACCTGCAGCCGCCAGTTCACCTCCTCCAGCTCCATGAAGGGCTCCTGTGGCATCGGTGGCTCCAGCCGTGTCTCTTCCTGCCGTGGCCCCAGTGCTTACGGAGGCCTGTCGGTCACCTCCTCCCGCTTCTCCTCCGGGGGGGCCTGTGGACTGGGGGGTGGCTACGGCGGTGGCTTTAGCAGCAGCAGCAGCTTTGGTGGAGGATATGGTGGTGGCCTTGGTGCTGGCTTTGGCAGTGGCTTTGGTGGTGGCTTTGGTGGTGGCTTTGGTGGTGGCGATGGACTCCTTGCTGGCAATGAGAAGGTGACGATGCAGAACCTGAACGACCGCCTGGCCTCCTACCTGGACAAGGTGCGGGCCCTGGAGGAGGCCAACGCCGACCTGGAGGTGAAGATCCGAGACTGGTACCAGCGGCAGCGGCCCAGTGAGATCAAAGACTACAGCCCCTATTTCAGGACCATCGAGGACCTAAAGAACAAGGTAGACAGCTCTGCTACAGTGTCCCTCGGGGCCTTCTGTGTAGCAGTCCCATTTTACAGACAGGGAGACCAAGGTGATTTTGGGGGAGGAGCTGGGCTTCCCTGTCTGGAGGAGCGGTAGCCAAGGGTGGTTTCTATCCCCTCTGCGCCTGTGAGGGCAGGAATGCTGACTCAGCGTCCCTGAGGTGGCTGGGCTGGGGGTGGGGGAGCTGTCGGGAAGTAGGAGGGGACATGCCAGCTGAGCAACCCCAGGCTTGGGCCTTCTTTTGCCCCTTTGTGCCCTTTCTCTTGGGAACGGGGCCCTGCTGACCCACCCTTTGATTCCTGCTGTAGATCCTCACTGCTACCAAGGAGAATGCGCAGTCTGTCTTGCAGATTGACAATGCCCGGCTGGCTGCCGATGACTTCAGGACCAAGTGAGTGGCCTTGGGGCTGGCTGGGGACAGTAGGCGGGGGCTGTGAGGGCCAGCAGCCCTCTTATCCTGGGGAGCGGCTGGGATGGGGCTGAGGTTCTGCCCTCTGTCACCAGGTTCGAGCATGAGCAGGCCCTGCGCATGAGCGTGGAGGCCGACATCAACGGGCTGCGCAGGGTGCTGGACGAGCTGACCCTGGCCAGGACTGACCTGGAGATGCAGCTCGAGGGCCTGAAGGAGGAGCTGGCCTTCCTGAAGAAGAACCACGAGGAGGTGGGGGCTTCTGGCTTTGGGGCATCCAGGCTGGCTTGGGGGAGTTGCCAGCTCTGCCCAGTGGCAGCACAGGGGTTCGCCCATCTGACAGCCCCCTCTTTCTCTTCCCAGGAGATGCTTGCCCTGCGCGGCCAGACGGGCGGCGACGTCAACGTGGAGATGGACGCGGCCCCCGGCGTGGACCTGAGCCGCATCCTGAACGAGATGCGCGACCAGTACGAGCAGCTGGCGGAGAAGAACCGCAGGGACGCCGAGGCCTGGTTCCTGAGCAAGGTGGGCAGGGGCTCGCGCCCAGGAGGGCTGCCTGGCGGTGGCTCCGGCGGCCTCACACTGCTTTCTCTTGTCGCAGACCGAGGAACTCAACAAGGAAGTGGCCTCCAACAGCGAGCTGATCCAGAGCGGCCGCAGCGAGGTGTCCGAGCTGCGCCGGGTGTTGCAGGGGCTGGAAATCGAGCTGCAGTCCCAGCTCAGCATGGTAGGAAGGCGCGGAGAAGTCCCATGGTGGTGGCGGTGGGACTGCAGGGACAATGGGCTCACTGCAGAGGTGGCCGACCAAGGCGGCTCAGATGGGGGAGCCGCTTCTCCCCAGTTCTCAGCGCTGCGGCGGGACTCAGCCCAGGACCGCCGCTTGGGAAATCCTCCTGGAGAATGGGGAGACCAGTGTGACCCCGCTCTTGACTTTTCCTGCTCACAGAAAGCATCCCTGGAGAACAGCCTGGAGGAGACCAAAGGCCGCTACTGCGTGCAGCTGTCGCAGATCCAGGGCCTGATCGGCGGCGTGGAGGAGCAGCTGGCCCAGCTGCGCTGCGAGATGGAGCAGCAGAGCCAGGAGTACAAGATCCTGCTGGACGTGAAGACGCGGCTGGAGCAGGAGATCGCCACCTACCGCCGCCTGCTGGAGGGCGAGGACGCCCAGTGAGCGCCCCGCCCCCACCCCCACCCCTTCCTCAGCCCGGCGCCTCCGCGGCTCCTGGCGCCCCTAACGCCCCCCTTTCTCCCCGCAGCATCTCCTCGGGCCAGGCCTATTCTTCCCGGGAAGGTGAGAACCCCAGCCTCCCTGCGGTGGGGTGGCCGCTCCCCGCGCCCCCGGCCCGGCTCAGCCGCCTGCTCAACCCCCCTCTCTCCACAGTCTTCTCGTCCTCGTCCTCGTCCTCGACCTCCCGCCAGCCCCGGCCCATCCTCAAGGAGCAGAGCTCCGCCAGCTTCAGCCAGGGCCAGAGCTCCAGGAACTGACGCGCCTCAGCCAGGACACCGCCGCCGCCTGCGGCCCTCTTGCCCCGGCCCCTTGCGGCCCTGCCTCCCCCCTCCCCCTTCCCCTGGTGCTGGGCTAATAAAGCAGCTGCTTCGGGTTGATGCAAACGTCTGTGTGGTCTCCGTGCTTGAACCTGAGGGGGTGGGGGTGTCGCCCTGAAAGTGGTAGCGTGTCTCAGACCGCGGGCTCAGCCCATCTTGGGCGATAACCTCTGCAGTTTGCGGGATGCGTCCAGGCAACAATTACAGACACATGCCGCACCACTCCACTCTTATCTAAAGAGCCGATTCTATACTTATTTTTTGTGTATTTATTTATTTGGGGCAGGGTCTCCCTACACAGCTCAGACTCATAGTGATCCTCCTGTCTCAGCCTCCCCAGCACTGGGATTACAGGTGCGCGCTACCACTCCAGGTTTCAGTGGCATACACGGCATGCAGCGCCCGGGATTGAACCCAGGTCCTCCTGCTTGCTAGGCAGGCGCTTAGACTGCCAAACTATCTCCCCCGCCTGATTATACACTTTTTGAAGGGACTAAGTTATATCACAAATAGGCACCTGCACATGCATTTTAAGAATATGTATTGGGGGCCGGGGAGATGGCTCAGTAGAATAAGTGCTTTCCTGGCAAGAGCAAGGGCCTGAGTTGGATCCCCGGTTCCAAATAAAATAAAAAGAATATACATTGGACAGCAATCATTTAACTTCAGTCTTCTACTTAATCACCAACCCTAGCGAGGCTCCTTTACTCGAAGTCTTTTGCTGTGGACACCATTGTTACCGCAGAGCATCCTGGGTCACTTTTTGAGACTTTCTCTGCCACTCCACTTGTTCCCGTTCCCTTGTTCCCTGGACTTGGCGCTCAAACTCAAGGCTGTCAGCTACAAGCCCAGCCTCTCTTCCACTCTACTTTCCAGGCAGGTTATCTTAAGGCTTGGAGCCAGAGCCCTGGAAGCTGCCCCTTGGCTCTTGGATTGCACATGGTGGCTTTGGTGCTGGGGGAGGAGGTGGCAGGTGTCTGTCTTGGGCACGTGTCCCTTCTCCCAGCCTGGCTCCCACCCCCAGCCCGTCCTTTCTCTTCATCACTGTCCTCTGCACCTGCCTCCTCCACAATGTCTGCCCCTCCCCCAGGCCTACATGCAGCCCACACCCAAATTCTACCCTGGGACCCCCCACTCTTGAGACTGTGGGTGTGAAGGGGACCCTAGCTAGCAGCCCACCGCGATCCCCTTTTGGTGTCTGAGTCCTGCCTGGCTGCCCGCGTTCCTCCCTGTGAAGGGCCTGGGAGTCAGCCCTTCCCAGGTAATTGTGTGGTCCATGCCTCTTGGGCACCAGTCCCCTTCCTGGACACAGTCTATGTTTTAAAACCTTAAATAAAAAACACCAGCGTTGGGCTGGTGAGATGGCTCAGTGGTCTAAAGCACCTACTTAGAACAAGCTCAGCAAAGCACAGGGACCGCAGTTCAATCCCCCAGCACCACATGCCAGCCAGCCCCCTGGTGGGCTGAGCTGGCCACACACACACACACACACACAAAACACCAGTGTTAAGTCTGTGTAACATCAGAACACGTGTGTGTGTGCATGTGCGTGCGTGCTGCGTGTGTATGTGTGTAGAAAGACCCAGCTTTGTCATCTTTCAGGGGTGGTTTCCCACTCAGCTTAACAATAACCCACAACCATGGGACCAACTGGTTTCCCACTCAGACATCAGCAGAGCTCCGAGGAGGGGGCTCCAGGCCTTCCATGCTGGCCCGTTGTCTTTCACCATCATTTCATTCCTTCCTTGCCTTCCTTTCAGGAACACTTTTTCCCTTTTTTTTTTTTTTTTTAATTTAGGACAGGGTCCGCAGGGTGTGCGGGGTCTCCTTACATAGGTCGGACTCGTAGTGATTCTCCTGTATTCAGCCTCCCAAGCGCTGGGATTACAGGCGCGTGCCACCATGCCCAGTGCCATTTGCTGTCTCAGTGCACCCCAGGGGGGGGCTGACACAGCATGCTGGGGGTCCAACCCGGCCACTATGCTCTGCTGAAGCAGGCCCTTTACTTATTTATTTTATTTTTGCAGAACCAGGGACTGAACCCAGGCCCTGCCAGGGAAGCGCTTATCCTGCTGAGCATCTCCCCAGCAAAGCAGGGCTTTTAGTTCACTGAACTATCTGGCTGGCCTGCACTTTTTCCTTTGGATTTCATCCAATCTGTGTTTGTTCAACCTTCTGAAAAAGTTCCCTAATGTAGCCATGTAAACGTACTGATTAAGGTCTGCTGCACTTTTAACATCCCATAGCTCTGGATATTTTCAGTGGTTGCTTGTTCTTGTTTTAAGGTGACTGTGTTTCCTCTCCTGTCTCTGAGCCTGTTAGCCGTGGCTGCAGCCGTCTGCCTACACCTTGATCTCAGTGTCCTCTGAGTCCCATTTGTCCTGTTTGGGTTTGACTTTGTCCGTCCCTCCCCCCTTTCTGTACCCAGGGCCTTTGCACTGAGCTACCTCGCCTGCTTTTCTTCTTTCTCTATTT